GAGTGAATGAGTGAAAGGCTGACCCTGCTTGGTCTTGAAAGCTGAGAACAATACTACAACAAAGAAGATGAGCTCAGTTATGTCCGACATCTAATTTTTGGCTATTTTCGATAGGGTTGCAAACTCTATGCCGGTACCCTCCGATCTGAATCACACAACCTTAAGGGTTTGCCCCAGCAGCCTTAAGATCATCATGATGAGACAGTCTATTTGTTCAGAGGTGAACTCATCAGACAAACACTGCTAGGGTGGGGCCTTTTCGCTCTGATTGCTTGGCCGAGGCGTGAGGATGAAAAATCAGCTGGTACAAAGGCCTCTCTCGAAAATAGATTGGCCTAGGAAAAATTAAATTAAGCTTTACTTCTACTGTTATGAAAGCAATAAAATATTTTTCTCCTAATTATGCGATGCTTCAGCAAATGGTAGTAGTAATATTGGGAAATATTACCTCACCTACGAATTAATAAATGCTTTAATTAATATACAATTGATCATTCGAGGCTGTGCGTTGTCAAACCTCGAGGCCGAGGGTGCAGGTCAACAATGGACCAAAAAGTTGATTGTGTGGCCTATAAATCGATTGCCTCAATCCGTTTTCAGGCTGATTTATGTGATGAATAAGATGTAAGCAGCATAAAATATGTAGACTCGCGTCTCCTCATTTCGAAACCCAATAGGGGCGGTGCTGAGACCAATGCAAGATAGAAAGCTTAGTCCAGCAAAGACTGCATTCATTAGCAAAGCTGACTGTTGTTTCCCTCCCTTGATGCTGCCTCAACCCTTGAGAACTGAAAAAATCCGCTGATAGTAAAGTCACAAATAAACCTAATAATTCTAAAGTCATGAGCGTTCCTCCCTAAAGATATCAAGTAGCATGGAGCAGTAGCAATTCGCTTTGCTCGTTTCGTTAATAAAAATATGATATTTTTTACCATAAAATTTGATGCTGTTTATGCGGGCAATCAAGAAATATGGGAGAATCTTAGTAATATTTGATTGAAAACTCTATTTACTTTGTTAAATTGAGAATTAGCAGTGGATCGAGCAACTACTCCTCTACTTAGTATAGGTGTCCGACCAAGGTTAAAATTAGTTGAGATCTATCTTTGTTAGCGACTTGTGACAATCAGATCAAGGGCCTAGGTATTTTGAGGGTCTTCCACTTGCCAAGAATATACAGCATCTAATTATTAGTATTACATTAATCTGTTGAATATAAAGCTTAATTAGGCTTTCGAGTATTTTATCTATGTTAATATCTCTGAAAGATGCAATGAAATCAGTATCAACAACAAATGAGAGGGATATAAAAGGGATGAATTCCTTGAAATAAATGGTCCTTTTGTGCCCTTAGTTACCTGTGGATTTAAATAAGACATGGTTATTACGATGTAGGGCCTTGGAAAAAAACTCAAAGAGAGTTAATATTAAAACTTAGTACTCAATCAACATTTTTTTCCGTTGGCTGAATTCTAATTTAAGCTTTAGTGATAGTTTCGGAATATAATCATATCGAAAATAAGTAATGTTATCTAGTTGAAATATATGTTTGCTTTAACGAAAATTCCACTATAAATGTGATTCGGTAGAGGCCTATGGTACCTTGAAAATCATACCTAGTGACCCAATGGCTGTGTTGTGGATTGTACCCCGTTTTCCGGTTTCAAAATTCATTTAAAGTACTGATGGGACCTAGAAGAGGTCGAAATTATATTCCATCCTGGATGAGAAAAGCCTTTGAGAGGCAAAGTTAAGTGGAATTCGATGGCATCATGAGGTCTGTTAAAAAAATTGTGGGAAGAAATCAATTATCAGTATTTACATTTCGCGATAAGCAATTAATAAAATTACCAAGGATGGCCTAAAATGAATAGGTTCCTATTAACGAATTTCTGATAAAAAATAAAATCAGCTGGGTAGTTACTTTGCAAAATGGCATTTTTATCTGATTTTGTTGTAACCCCGGACAGCTGAGTATTGATTTGTGGTTGAACCCTAGTCTCCGTCATTGGCTGATCTTTCGCATTGGACAATTCGCCTGATTTTGGAGAGTTTTTGGTTGTACTGGTTGATGAGACAGTCAAAAGAAGATCCTCTTCCTCTTCCTCCTCCCCGTTAGCCACCTCGAGGTTTGGCGATGCATCTTCAACTCTTTCTTTCTGAAATATTAAAGATAACTTGGCGTCATTTTGTACTGCTTTTCCTTCCTTTTTTGCGTGTTCTTCAGCTTTCCTCGACCCTATAAGATGTCTTTCGAGTTTCTTTTTGTCATCAAAGAAATGAATTCGCTCTGAGATTGGCGGCCTTAGATCTGTCTCCGTAGGAGCCGAAACTCCTACCTCCAGATTCATGCTGCTACCAGTGCTCTTCTTCCTTAATACACCACCACCTGGCGATACAAAGATCATTCCAATGGTGTCCGCCCAACGGGCTGGGTTTCCAGCCCGTATAGCCTCATTTATGGCCGGATGAAATGAGGAGCCTAGGGTTCCTGTGGAAGGTGACTTTGGCAGATAATAACTCGGATGAACTGAGCTACGACCCCCTGCAGTTCGCGTCTCGCTGTCCCAGTCATCCGTAGGTCCGATGCGACGCCATATCCGAGACCCATTTATGGTTCGACTGTTATTGAACCTGTCCTCTTCCTCTCCTTGTCCTGCATTCTCTTTTTCCTCATCCTCTTCGACTGCTAATTCTTCGTCCTCCAGTTGCAGATCATCGGCTACGGCTAAATCCGCGTCTGCTTCACTCAGGCCTCCATAGCCGCAGCCTCTGATGCCAGATGACTCTGGTACTGCCGCCAAAGTCTCGAGTCTGCGAGTGGACCAGTCCGCTGGTGTCGTGAGTATGTCATCTCCGACTCCCATGGCTGCGGCAGACAGTGAAAGTGAGACTGGCCTGACCAGAGACTCGGGAAGACTTGCTGGAAATTCCTCACATCTCCTGATTCTTTCTCTCTCACCTGGAGGAGATGACTTTGACTCTACTTTATCTGTGTAGGGTCTCCTCGTAGACTCCGCCGCCTTTGGTACTTTCGTAACCGGCTGCGAAGGGAACTGCAAACAGCCGCACAGAGCCTCTATATGTGTAGGACCCGAGAGGGGGGGGTCGACAGCAGCAGCAGTCATGAAGCTGGAAATTCCCAATTGAGCAGCGCGCAGTTTGCAAGTGGAGATGTGATCGCCTGAAGGGCAGGCGGACCGACTGAGAGTTGCGTCTCGAAAAGCATATGCACATTCTAGACGGGCTTCTGATAGTCCTAGCTTTTGTTTGGCTCCGGCCGGAAGGATGGAATTATCATCTAAAGCGTCTCGTCGTGCTCTCTTCAGACAGGCTCCTTCTTGATCTTTCTCCTCTTTTTTGTGTTCTTCATCACTCGGTCGCACTCTTTCGTCCTTCAAGATTACTGACTCTCTGGTCTCCTTTTCTTCTGCTCGTTCTTGACACATCATCACTTCTTTAGCTTCTTCCTTCTGTCCCTCTGATTGCCTTCGTGGGGATTCACGATCTCCAGCCTCCCAGTCGTAAGGAGGAAAGTGAGCGCCTATCTTGTGTCTTCCCAGCCAACCGGTTAAACTGTCATGCAGACGAGCGTAGTTCGGCTCTACAGTGTAGTCACACCTCGTTAACTCGCTCACCCAAACCGAGGCGATCTCTTCGGGCAAACCGGAACGTGCCGCCAACTCGGCATGATCTGTTTCGGCCTTCATTTGTCCAACCAGATCTTTGTCACGTAGACGGCGCCATGGCAACTGGCCGGCAATAAATTCCAACATCATATATAGCAGGGACCAGAGATCATCGTGTCGACCAAGATCTCGATGAAGATGAGCATTGACAGAAGCATAACGCACGGTGCCTCGAAAGCCGGCCACTCTTCTGGCCGGACGCAGCTGGCCGTCTGGTTGTCCGTTGATGGTGTAAGGGCGGGCTAAGCCGAAGTCGAGCAAAAAGACCATCGGCGCTGGTCGCTCTGGACTGGGCTCACCGGCTACTCCAGTTGCCTGCTCTCCTTTGACTGATGACGAATAGGAGGATGCGCAAGAGATTGTCTCGTCAAGCCGAGCTGGCTTCTTCTGAAGGAGACCCTCACCCTTTGCCAGACTGGAAGTCGCTGCGACCGGTGGTCTAGACCTAACAGAACCCGAAGTTACAT